TTACCTTAAAAATGACCCAAATCACTAGGGTGAGTAATCAAGTTACTCGTAGGAGAAGCATATGCGTATACCCTAAAGTTTCAATATCATTGCAAGATCAATATAGACGAATACAAGGGAGCATTCCACTTAACGTCTATGTTCAAGATGTTCTAAGGGATCATCTTAAACTTAATGCAATGATTCTATTGCAACACAATATCAAAAGGATGTACTTAACAACATCAAATCGCATGAAACAAAAATTACAAGTTACAACTTAAGCATTGATTGTCAACTTGGAATTGAATGCGAAATCAAAAGTGGAATCCTTGGACACCTAAGCTCGGAATTCTGCCAAGACCTCAACGGTTATTCCCGGCATCAACCCGCAGGGAAGACCACCCTAAGTGCGCACTATCTCAATTGGGGAGAACTCATACCTCCCGCACTAGAGCCAAACTCTAGCCATGTTACTAGTAGCTATGTCGCAAGAGATTCCAAAGTATATATCAAGTTCAAAACTTATATATAGATAACAAGGCATATAAACCACCTTCCATGCATAAGTACTTTCAAACCATACAAACCATGTCTTAGGGTTCCAAGTCTAGAATGGCATGCCAAATGACAATTCCTCATTATGGTACTATGCGCAATAAAATACCATTAACTTAACAACTTAGGTCATGCTTCAATAATAAGCTTCATATACTAAATATCAACATTATAGCAATAAGCTTCCAAATAATTACAATTAGTAATTCACAAGGACATAGAATTATTGTAACAACAAATATAGCAATTCATATCAATAGAAATTGCATATAACATCAATAATTCTACAAGTGTTCCATATCACTAACACATGTGAAATTTCTAGAATTTACATACTACTAAATTTAATAATCCTCTGCACATGGTTTATACATAACATACATGCTTAATCCAATAAACCATATGTCAAGAAGTGAGAGTTTCCTATAATATGCAAAACTGTCATATTAAAAACATGTACACAATATATATTAAACTCCAAGGATTATAAAACACTTAGAATATAAACATACTACCACCCCTACCTCAATAGAGAATTGTATCTCTATAATCCAAGCTACCAAGCACAAAATGGAAAATAAGTTTAGGGTTCTTAAAGTGGAGAATGAGAGGAAACTTTTCTCTCCCAAGGTTTTTAGTCTAAGGTGTATGGAAGTGAGCCAAATTGAAGGGGTAAGCTATGGACTAAGCTTTCCTCCAATGGTGGATTTGTTAGGGTTCATATGAGATAATGAAATGAAGAAGGTAAAGTGTAAAACATAGTGCGTGAAAGGGCTAGAGATCCTCCACTCACTATATGCTCTTAATCCTAAGCTTACATTTGTCACTAATCTAATGCCTCTTCCATGACTTAATCCTAAGCTTACACTTGTCAACAATCAATGGTTACATGTGCACCAATCCTAAGCCAACAAATGGATGACCCTTCACCTTCCAATTGTCAAGAAACTATGGTACCAAGTCTCTTCACCCAATTGCCAACAAGTGGCACCATGAGAATGTGACAGTTATCACATTTTCCAAAAATTGCAAAATAATCCTTTTCAAAATATCTTCCAAAATAAATTGCAAAAAGGTCCCTCAAACGAAAAATAATTATTTTACATAATTACACTAAAGTATGCATTCATGCCCTTTATGAAAAATAAAAGCAACTAGCATGCTTTTCAACAAAAATGAAAATACTAATGTCATGGAAATCAAGTATCATGAATGCATGCAAAACTGGAATCAAATCCGAACACTCGAAGTGAGGTTAAGCTAGGAAAAAAATGAAAAATGAGTAAAAGACGAAAAAAGAAAATCACAAAAATGAAAAAGGAGGAAAAATATCGGGTCATTACAACCTACCCTCCTTAAAAGGATTTCGTCCCCGAAATCAAGTCATACCTAAAAGACAGAACAAATGGGGATACCGAGAGCGAACCTCCTGCTCGAGCTCCCAGGTAGCCTCCTCAATGCCGTGGTGTCTTCACAAAACCTTAACCAATGGAATGGTTTTGGTCCGCAAGACTTGCTCCCGTGAATCAAGAATCTGGACTAGACCCTCCTCGTAGGTCACGTCCTCATCAACAACAACATCTGTCTACCGTAAAACATGCGATGGATCCGGCTCATACTTCCTCAACATAGATACATGAAAGATGTCATGAACTCTATCCAAGTCTGGCGGCAATGCCATACGATAAGCAACTTCACCGATGCGCTCCGAAATCTGAAATGGTCCTATGAACCTAGGTGACAACTTGCCCATCTGTCGAAATCTCAGAAGTCCTAGTCTACATCAGAACAAAACCCAAACCTTCTCGCGAAGAATCACAATAGACCACGTAACCCAAACCACGTTCAGGTCTGATTAAAACTGGAGCTGATGTCAACCTGACCTTCAACTCCTGAAAAACAAAATCACAAGCCTCATTCCATATGAACTTGACTCCCTTGCGAGTAAGTCGAGTCATAGGTGCCGCTAGACGAGAAAAATCCCGAACAAATCTCCTGTAATAGCCAGCTAGGCCAAGAAAGCTCCGAATCTCAAATACTGTTTTCGGACGCTCCCAATCCATCATAGACTCAATCTTTGATGGATCCACTGCAACACCGCCCCCTGACACGACGTGTCCAAGGAACTTTACCTCTGGTAGCCAAAATTCACATTTTTTGAACTTGGCATACAATTGGTTATACCTAAGGATCTGCAAAACTGCTCTTAAGTGATACTCATGCTCCTCCCTCGAAGCTGAGTACACGAGAATGTCATCAACAAACACCACCACAAACTTATCAAGATAGTCACTGAATACACGGTTCATTAAATCCATAAAAGCTGCTGGAGCATTGGTTAAATCAAATGGCATCACCAGAAACTCATAATGGCCATACCATGTGCGAAAAACGGTTTTGGATATATCCTCATCCTTAACTTGTAACTGATAGTAACCTGATCTCAAATCAATCTTCGAAAAGCATGTCGCTCCCTTCAACTAATCATATAAGTTATCAATCCTAGGCAAAGGATACCTGTTCTTGATCGTAGCTTGATTCAACTTGCGATAATCAACACAAAGTCTTAAAGACCCATCCTTCTTCTTTGCAAAAAGAACTGGTGCTCCCCATGGTGAAGCACTAGGACGAATAAAGCCCTTAGCTTTCAAATCATCCAACTGACTTTTCAGCTCGTCAAGCTCTGCTGGTGCCATACGGTATGGTACCATAGAGATGGGTGCTGTACCGGGAATGACATCGATGGCAAAAAAAACTTCCCTTAAAGGAGGTAACTCTGTCAGTTCCTCAAGAAAGACATCAACATAATCCTCAACAACTATCGGAAGAACATGGTCCGAACTGCTATCCTCGTCAACTATCAAACTAGCTAAGTAGGATCTGTGGCGACTCCAATCACCAATGCTGAAAACCATTGCCGGGTGGGAATCGTTCCAATCTCCCACAAAATGGAAACAATCTCCCTTGGGAGTGCAAACAGACACCCTCCCGCGGAAGCAATCGATCGTAGCCCGGAAGAATGACAACCAATCCATCCCAAGAATGACGTCAAAACCCGTCATGTCGAGAACAATAAAATCAAACTCCAAAGTCCATCTTGCTATCTCAATAGCGCAACCCCAACAAACACAATCCAAAGACACTGGACCCCCAACTGATGTGTCAACACAGAGAAAACTGTCTCGAAGTGTGACCTCTAGACCCAATGAATGTGCAAAAAATGCAGAAATAAAAGAATATGATGCACCCATGTCAACAAGAACTCGTGCCCAATAACTAAAAACTGGAAAGATACCTCAAACTAAAGAGGTGCCTGCGGAAGCAACCGCCTGTGGAAGAGCGTAGGCTTGTCCCTGAGTCCCTGAGCCTTGCTGTGAACTGCCCTGATAGCCTGACTGATGTGTAGAAGCAGTAGGTGTAGAACCTCTGGCTGGATAAGTGCCAACTGGCGCCACTGGCTGTGGTGCCTGAGGAACTCTGAAACCAGACTGAACCACTACAAACTGTGCCGGTACCGTCGGTGAATCTATGCCACTATGTGACTTATTCAACAATCCTTCCTGAGATGACCTGACCGTTTACAATAGAAGTAAGCTCCCTACCCTATCTTTATAGAAACTGAAGTCTGACTGGCCTGTGCTTGAAGCTGTGGGCAACGAGGCTTGATGTGCCCCGGCTGCTGATAATGGATAATAAACCATTCCTGGGGTTGATCCCGAAGATACAGGAACTATGGGTGCAGAACAATTCTGCTGTGATACCCCCTGTGAGTGAGTACCGTTCCCTGCCCTGGCCTTCTTCCACTGACTCCTAGAAGATGATGGATTATCTCCGCGAGGCTGCTTATGTGAACCCCTGATCCGTAACTGATCTCGTTCCTCTACCTCAGCTAGCATAGTCCTCTGGACCACTTCTCTGTAAGTCCTCAAATCAAGAATTGAGACTCGTGGCCTGATGTCAAGATGTAGCCCATCCTAAAACTTCATTGCCCTGGCCTCATTTGTTGCTACCATATCCTTGGCATAACGAGAAAGAGAAGTAAATCGTGTCTGATACTCAATAACACTCATAGTGCCCTGATAAAGACCTGCAAACTGTGTCCTCATCTCCTGCCTCATAGCTCTAGGAAAGAAACGCTCAAAGAACAAGCCACTGAACTCATCCCAAGTCATCAACTCAACATTTTGGATATTGGTCATAGACCTCCACCAAATATCTGCATCCCCCATGAACAAAGAAACAGTCAAGGAAATCCTCAACCTATCCGTGGGTACCACCATACTGTCTAACTTGCGAACCATAAGGTCCAACCAAGCTTCTGAGACTAGCGGATCTGAACTCCCCGCAAATGGATCAATCTTAACCCTCTGAAGTCGCATAAAGTACTCTAGTGCCTCATTGACTATCGGTGCCAGTGCCAGTGCTGGAATCTGTATCCCTGCCACCTGCCTGGGTATCCTCTCCTATAGGGATTCAGCAATTCCATAAGTTATACCCTGAGCCACTCGCTCCTCGTAAGTCGGTGCCTGTGGAGGATTAGCATCTACGCCACGAACTGGAATCCTGGGCCTTCCTGGACCCCATGTGAACTCGATTTCAGCCACCTGCTCCTTAGTGCCCTGACGTGAAGACTCTCCACGCGTAACAACCATGGTTCTAAACGTGTAAAAGAAAGGAGGTCAATAATAACACAAGTTATTATGACCAAGTGCAACTCACACTATGAATGCACAAGACACGAAGCAAGACAAGATATGCAACATACTGTCATGCTAAAGCAATCAAAGAAAGCTTTTAAAACAGTTAATCACTTAAAGCAAATAAGCAAACATGTCAAACTGAAATGCTCTTAACCACATAGGCATATAAGCACAAAGACATGTCATACTACCAAGCGTGTTATCAAGAAACACATAAACAGGTTATGATGCTGAAACATGTTATCAAGAGCATGTGAATGCATCAAAGTACATCAACAAAAGCTTGATATGCACCCAAAACCCATCGTCTAAAGGTGTTCAAACCTAGGAGCTCTGATAGCACTTGTGACGGCCCAAGTTTTTCAACCCGATGCGTCAGTGATGAATCGAAAGTTGACCAGATAACGGATCTGAAATGCGGAAGCAAAAGATAAAACAATAGTCCCTAGAGGTACAATACGTCTCTAAGACCCTAATATGATCCTCAATGAGGTCACAAAACCAAAAGAAAACAAGTGCGAAAGTGACGCTTCAAAAATGGACTAAAAGGGGCCTAGGGGTAAAATGGTCATTTACAACATAAAAGTGAGTGTTACCAAGCATACCGTTGGAAAGACAATGAAAAATTAATCAATTTCAAAAAAAAATTCACTTGATTTGGATTCCGGATGAAGCAGTTATGGGTAACGGAAGAAGAAGGGGCAAAAAGGTCAAAAGTAGCTAACCCCAGGTCATCTAAACATTTAGGAAGCCTTTCTAACCGGTTAAAAGGCTGAAAATCATATCCAACCCACTGCCCAAGCACATGTGACCATTTACATAGCCCCTTGTAACCGGTTACGAAGCAAAAAACAGAATAGGCAACAAGGAAAATTGGCAGAAAGGGTTTTTCGGCAAAAAATGTGATTTTGAGGGCAAAGATGACATTTTCTGGAAAAATACAAAAAAGAAACCCCCCTCAAAATTGAGTTTTCTATATGACTATAGAGAAAAAATAAAAAAAAACAAAATTTGAAATACCCAAAATTCCCCTGGAACAGAATAGGGTCAAAACTAAAGAATATGCTACTTTAGGATTTTGTTTCATCAAGAAACGTATTGTTTGCCAAAGTGAGTATGCAAGTGCATGCAATATGATAAAATAGATGTACCAACATGGCCTAAAGCCTCATTACATTCCATTAACAAGTTTTAGCATACAAACCTCAATTTCTCACAAACAAGCTACAATGGCAAAACTTGAGTTTTAAAGAAATATACTTGCAACCTTTCATGTTGATGGCTCTTGGCCTCATGTTATACATACAAAAAAAGTATCAAAAAGAGTACTTAGATACACATTACATGAAGGAAGCCATTGTAGCTTCTAAAATACCATACATCCATGCTATGCAAAAGTATTACATCCGAAAGATAAACCATGCTAAACAAGTGCATGCTAATACACAAAAATGCTTCAACTAGCTTAAAAGCTTCTAAGGATGATGAGCATCCATGAACATGGACTCTTTACCTGAAAACCAACCCAAACCACTAGGGTGAGTAATCAAGTTACTCGTAGGAGAAGTATATGCCTATACCCTAAAGTTTCAATATCATTGCAAGATCAATATAGACGAATACAAGGGAGCATTCCACTTAACGTCTATGTTCAAGGTGTTCTAAGGGATCATCTTAAACTTAATGCAATGATTTTGTTGCAACACAATATCAAAATGATGTACTTAATAACATCAAATCGCATGAAACAAAAATTACAAGTTACAACTTAAGCATTGATTGTCAACTTGGAATTGAATGCAAAATCAAAAGTGGAATCCTTCGACACCTAAGCTCGGAATTCTGTCGAGACCTCAACGGTTATTCCGGGCATTAACCCGCAGGAAAGACCACCATAAGTGCACACTATCTCAATTGGGGAGAACACATACCTCCCGCACTAGGGCCAAACTCTAGCCATGTTACAAGTAACCATGTCCCAAGAGAATCCAAAGTATATACCAAGTTCAAAACTTATATATAGATAACAAGGCATATAAACTGATGAGCACTGAAAAGTGCGCATTTAAACCCGTTAAGCTTAAGCATTCTACTATCTTTATCTATCTTACTTTGCCGTTTTAGACTTATTACGTGTTATTTATATTTTAAGGCACTAATCCAAAAATTGAGCTAACTCAGCCAAATAAGAGCTTAATTGAAGCAATCCCGAGATAAACCAAAGGAGGAGCAAAGTGGAGAAAGAACGGAGCAAAAAGGAATCAAGTTGTGCAGCTGAAAAGTTTGATCGATCCAACTTAGAGTTCGATTGATCGAACATCTATGATCGATCACAGTACTTCTCGATAGATCGAACCTTAGCCTTTGCTGAAATTCCAAGTTCGATCGATCGAACATCATCTATGATCGATCGAACCCTATTTTGTCCTATTCAAATGATTGATCTTATCCACAGCTGTACGCCTACCAACCACTTTTCTCTTTTTTCCCATAAATATCTTGAAAATATCTCAGCCTTGTCCTTATCTGGAGGAGTCAGACCACTTCGATCGATCCAAGATGCAGTTCGATCGATCAAACCCATTTTCGATCGATCCAAGTTAAGGTTCGATCGATCGAACTTCCTCCAGCGAGAAAAAGTTAAAGTCCAGCTCATTTATTCCGTCCTTCATCCAACGATTGGAGAATATGCCTTGCACGACCACAGCTCATCATGGGGTGTATTTGACCTACCTATATAAGGAATATGATATACTTTTGAGGGAGTCTCTAGAGTCTCTTGTCACACATTGAAAATCATCTTAGAGGCTATTCTTGGAGAGGAAGAAGGGAGGAAGCTAGAGCAACCTTTGGAGGAGATCTTCACCAACAAGGAGTAGCCATGGAGTTAGCCCTTGAGGGTTGGATCATCACTACCATGAGTGGCTAGACATCCTCTTGGGGCTAGAGTTAGCCCCAAGCATGCTTTCTATACTCTAATCTTGTGTATTATTGAGGGATTAGTGTTGTATGATACATCTTGATATTCATGTATATATAAATCTTGATTATTTCATGGTTTGTATGGTTTAATGCTTCCAATTGACTATTCTATTCTATCCATATGTCTATGTATACTAGAGTAGGATATTCATGTGCTTATCTCTAGATTTAGTATTTTTGATGCATGTCTATGTGTATTGATGCTATAGATCTAGAGATTATCAAGATGATATGCTTAATGGAATACTCTTGTTATGTCTTTTGATGGTTCATACTTATTCCTTGATGGATTGTACCTCTCCCTTAGTTTATTTTCATGCTAGTAGTGTAGTTGTAGTGTAGTGTTAGATGGGGGAGACAATTCATGCTTGTTCTTTGATGTTCCATGCTTTTGAATGCAAGAAGCATATGCTCTAATATTGTGGTGTATGTGGATTTTGAGCTTAATGAAGGATTAATGACTAGTTATAATATGTTGTATCTTTCACATGTGTTTAGACAATTTATTCCTCTCCCAATAGATATTTTGTACCTCTCACATGATGTTTAGATAATGCATGTTTAACTAAGTCATCCTTATGGATTGCTTGGACTATGAGCTTAATGAAAGGTTCAATGACTTGAATTGTTATTTTGTTATCTTCACATGATGTTTAGACAATATATTCCTCTACCAATAGATGTATTGTGGCGTCACACATGTTGATTGAGACAATTTGCACTTGTTGAGTCACCCTTACCAATTGAATGTCTTTTACACACACAACATTGTTGCAACACATTCATTTCCCTCATTAGTCACTTGATTATGGTTTGGAATAGTATTGCTTGGTGGTGATCTCTACACCCCAAGACCTCTCTCTCTCTCTTGTTTACTTCATATTATTTTATTTAGTTGAATTCAATTTAGCTTAATCAACCAACCCAACTCTCTTTTGCAATCATTTGGTACACTAGAGTCGAAGTTGAAATTCCAACACGTATGATCCCTTGGAACGATCCCTACTCACTCTTGCTACGTTAGTAGTGGTGCTGGTAGTGGTTTTTATAAATTTAAATTTGACATAAAAGGCTTTTCTTAAACCACACATTCACTACATTTAGTTTGGCGTATTGGAAGCGACCTCGTCATATTTTGGCGTCGTTGCCGGGGAGTAACGGTTTTGTTGGAATTAAACTAGACAATAGTGTTCATTAGATTGCTTCTATTTTTATTTTATTTTCCATTGTTTATTATTTTCTCTTGATTCTCATTATTATTTGTTCAATTAGGTACTTGACTACAAGGAAGGCGAACTTTGGAACTTAAAGCAATCATTGGAGCTTAAAAGCTAAATTTGGAGTTGAAGTGCTAAAGGACCGTTGTAAGCAATTCTTGGAACTCTTGTATTTTAATTGTTTCACTTCTTTGTATGCTTGTGATAGCCCTTGTTGAGGCTCATTTTATTGCTAAATTTTTGTCCAAGCATAGGCCCTTGTTGAGGCCAATTTTTTCTTGCATTTGGGTTTTAATTGTGAATGGAGGAATTGTTTGATCCAAGTTTGGGGGGGAATTACATCCCTTCACCTTATGCTCCTCCATCACATTTTAATCCTTATGAGATTAAGTCCAATTCATTTCATTCATCATCTTATTATGGACTTGATTACTCATTTAATCCTTCTTGTGACTATTACCCTCCCCTACCATTTTATGATGAATCAATTCCACCACCTTCTAAGTACTCACCCGGATTTGAAGAAAAAGTGTTAGCTTTACTTGATGTGCATATTTCACACACTTCACTTATTAATTCTCATTCTCAAGCTTTAGCCAACTTAGAAGCTCAAGTTGAGCAAATTGCAAGTACTCTTTCTCATCAAGAGGAGGAGGAAGAGGCAAATGAAAAAATGGCAAGAACTTCAATGTATATAGATGAGGATGATGAGAGTGAGGAGAATGAAACAAAGTGAGCTAATGCCTAGCACTCTATC